TAAAATGAAAATATTATATTTAAAAGAACAGTCGAAATTGTGATAGACATTTTCTAAGAACGGAAAAAATATATGTGAATATTTATATGCACATGTGTGTATCCTTTTTTAAAGTTTCTTAATATGAATTGTAAAGAATCGTGTAGCCATATTACTAATAGTTAAGGGAAACAATCATTTATTGAAAATTGATTTGTTGGAAGGTAACTGATTAAGATGCATTTTGGCATTAACACACCGACCAAGTGTCCTTAATTACAGTGTCATATTTTCCCACATACTACCCTAACACTATAAAAATTGTGAATTCGTCAGAAAACATGAAGATTAGAAATATGAAATATTTCTTTGAAGTGGTATATTTTGTCCCCTGCTTTCCATATTTGCTTACTAATTTACACCCAATAGATGGGTACGTGTTAATTTACACACTCTTTACTGTACTATGAATGCCGCTAAAATATGCACTATTTTAAAACAGGATTATTATAATGTGTTGTTAATTTGTAAACTGTCATATTACCGCCTCCCGGAGCTGTTCGTGTCTTTTGTTACAAAGCACCTTTTTTAGCCTTAAAACATTTTAAAATTCGCACATTATTAGCGCTATTGTCACACTATGTAAAGTGACGCGCTAAATTTTAAAAATATTTTCCCGATTTTGATACGATTCAATTCGGTTATTTTCTTTATGATTTACCAGTGTTTTCATTTTAATTTCGGACTATTAACTAGCGTGGTGTCAACCAGTAAATACAGATTTGCTATTTTTGGTGTTCAAATCCTTTTAGATGTGCTTTAACGTGACACAATTAGTCAGAAAATATTTACCCAAGACTAGGAAAGAATGCCTTTATTAAACACTGTCGTATATGCATTCATATAAATATTTTGTTTCACATTTTGAAAAATATCAATTTATCCTAACTTACTTCGTCAAATACATAGTATTCTAAATCTTTAAGTTTATAGAAAATTCATAAAAGAATGCGTGAAACGTAAAAGAAAATGCGCCTATATTCAAATATAATTCAACAATATAAGCATGTTTTTTTTATAAACGTTTCACTGACTAGTAGCCGGGTACGTTATTCATTTTAGATATATTGTGTAAAGTTTTGCCTTACATTATTCAATGAATGAATGTCAAACCTTCGTCACCGCGGACCTTCGTCATTACTGCGTTCCCAGGGCAACCTAGGATGGATTGGAAACGCCATGGACGTCGTTGGGTCGAGTTGGGAACGATTCGAGTCCCCGTGAGGAACCATCATTGTCCCAGAACTTCGAGCCAAGGCGACTGTTTTGAACTTGAAAAAATAAAACGCCGATGATCTGCATTCTCAATGCGTCCGAAACTAGAACGCCATAGTGACCCAATAGTCGCGATAGAAACCCCTTCAACATGCAAATTACGTTCTATGAACATATAAAGAATGCCGCAAAATTGCCGTATAAACGCACGTAAATTCTTTAGCGTGAAATTGGTGATTTAATAGCGACACAGGCCCCGTGTTCACAAAGAAAAGATCAGGATCTTGATCCTTAAATTTTTTTTGAACATGGGGCCTGAAGAGATTGCAGTGCGACCAGTTTCAGGACGCCATTGCAGTCGACGTGCGGATGCTGCATGAACGCCGTAGTAGCCTTATAATCTTAGTACACACTCTAAGAATGCACTACAGTTGTAATAATACATCGGACCGGGCTATGAACGCCATGTGAACGCAGTACAAACTCCATAAACTTACCGGAAATACACAAAGCAGGATGGTCTGATGGCTAGCTGAAATTTGCATTTTTGTCAAAACCAGACATTGGGGTTATTAATTAGACTGCGGCGTTTTCCGGAAAATATCCCTTTAGATTTCTGTGTGAACGCCATGTCGGTGTGCCGGAGGCTTCATAATAAGCAAATGGACGCTCTTTTGAATAATGTTATAAAAATTATAAAGTCTCCTGTTGCGCTTTTCCGGGGAATTTCGGACTTTTTTAAACATAAAGATACATGCCCACTCGTCCTCACAGCTTATACCGCTATAACTAATACATACAATTATTTGACACCTAGTATTACTTACATGTACAATGTACCTGAAAATACAACACTTTACAGTCTCAGAAACTGTTGCCTTTTAAAACAGACGAGGATTTTTTTATTTCGTGACATCGTCTGTGATATTATGGAACGCCTTACACCCTTAAGAAACTTTGGCATCTTTCAAAACTCTAGCCAAACCGTCTATCTGACAGGCCGCAGAAAGCGTTGCTTTTGCAGTGACTTATATTTCCACTTAATTTACAATCAATCATTTGCCCCTGTTCATGTTGATACAAGATAGGAGATTCTTACCTTTTCTGTAAAAGAAACATTGTTTTTGACGAATTAAGGCCATTTCACTATCTGAATGTCCAGTTACATCTACATGGTAATGAGATAATTAGGTATCTTCTACCTTTCTTTTTTTCTTTTTCAAGTTGGTTGTTGTAAAAGTTTTCTAAGTCGTAGAATATAGATTATATAAAAATTAGTCTTCAACTGCTCATTATTTCCTCCAAATTTGATAGCAAGAAGCACCAAACATATTGTTATTGTAAATTAATATATTTGTTGCTTGAACCTAACTGAAAGTCACTCTTGTATCCAACGTATTTGTAACTTAATGCATTAGGGAAGATGAGTTGCTAATGGTAAAAGTAATTGATGGTTAACCATTTTAATTGCCAAATATTTTATAACACTGTATTAAAACTGGCATTATAATTACTATATGTTTATTTATAAATTAGCAATAGAGTACAACACATTTTATTTACCCATGCCACCAGTGCAGACCAAAATTAGGCGATACATCTTTTGGCATACACTTTCACTAGATTACTTAAAAGTTTCACTAAAACTTAAAATTGTTTCAGTCCATATTGAAATATCGACCATTTTAGATAGACCATAAAAGATATTTAGCATACAGATCACTTACATGTCCCGAAAATAACACTGGATCCGCGTATTGAAGTCTCTCAAATAGTTCCTTTGGCAAAAAGCATTGTAGTCAAAACGCTATAATATGGCAGAGACGAGAGACGAATTCTACAAAAAAATGCGGTAGGACTGACAGTTTATGTATAATCATGTTCCAATTTGATAACATTTATACTTGTAGTAATTGACACTGCGATGACTTTTGGCACGCGAGGTTAGGGGCTAATAGTTTGTCTAAACGGTCATCCGAATATATGTACACAAAAGACGAGATAGTTCAAAATTCGGAAATAATCAATTAAATTATAATTAATTACATTACAAGTGGTTAACCTGTGTCGAAGATCTACACGCTTGATTAGAAACCCTTCCCCGTCTGTATAGTATTTAACGAGCAGATTTTAAAACAAACTTACGCCAAATTTAATTTGGACTTTAGCGAACATTGTAGGTTCACGACATCTGCGATATTGTGACCTTTTTTAAAACTATCCGTTCAACTTGATTCGGTTACTTCAAAAGAAAATCTGACTTTAAGGTAGACTTAATTGGTTTAAAAAGATTAAGAAATCAAAAAGTCATTTGCCTGTAATAAGTATGTATTGCGAGGTAGGTATTCAATCGGCGTCCAGTCGTATTTAATGTCTGTGCCGGGACGTAACAAAATTAAAGGAGGGACAATTGTTGTATTGGATGAAACGGGATTTTATAGTATTTTTGCGTATACTTAATATTATGACGTTAAATCAAATGTTTCGATCAATGATAAAGTACCTTAGACAAACCAGTAAAAAAAGGCGTAGCTTTTTTTTTTTGACCAATTAAAAATTCAAATATAATAATAATAATAATCATAATCATAATAATGTTCATAATACGAACATATACTAGATCTATTTCATTCTTGGATTCAAAATTTATCTTATAACGATAAATTATTACAGAAGTTTTCAAATATTAAAATTAACACAAAATTGATGAAATTAAACATCCAGAAAAAGACTTTCGAAACAAACAGCTACAATGTATAATACATATTCAATTCTTTTTCAATTCTTAGACACTTTTACTTAAATAACTTACTTCATTAATTTTATTGTACTTTAATGCCAGTTAACCTTTAAGTAACTTGACGTCAAGGTCACTGTAAGAGTTTTGTGTGGGAGAGTTTAATCCCAGGTATACGAAGACCCCATGTCTGGCCATACTGACCAGATATTCGTTATTTTTTCTCACTTTACTAATCACAATACAGTAAGATTTGATAGACATCAAACAGCAATGCCGATTGTTAATCCATCTTCAAATATTATTTTAAGGCTAGAATAGCGGTGCCGTTTTAAACCAAGAGTTAACAGTGATGAAAACACGTTTGGCCAGGCAAGGCAAGTTGGCAAATATATTACGATTTAATAAATAATAACTACATGTATATACACTGTTATATGACTGTAAATGCAAAGTTTGCCCAAATATTCATGGTAACATGATATATCCCTGTTTTAAAGGATTCTTGTAGTCAATGCTTTCTTCATAAATTCTTTATTCTGTTCCTGTAGATGAAATACAAATGCTATGGTATCTTTTAAATTTTCCAACCGATGTGTACAAGTAATACAACACTACCATTCAACAGACTCTGAACGTCTGCTGCAATACTAGTCATTTTATTTTAGATGACACAACAAGAAATGCTTGCACGAAATACCAGGCGTCTATTTGGTGCTTTTTTTCAGGAATTGAATTTTCAGAATTTTGTGGATTCGATTCCTGAGCTGGCCAACTAAAATTACTAATCAGTCTTTTGAATGAGACTTTAAATCTAGGTCCCGTGTATGGGTGCTTAAACACTTGGCACGTTAAAGAAAACTTATGGAATTGGACATGTTTCTGTATCTTGCACAATCCTCCAAAATATAAAATGATTAATACTTTTTTGGAGGACTCGCCCGTTTGGGCAACTGGCGGCGGGTATAAATAAACTCAAATACACAAATAAAACGAAAGCAGTATTAGATCAGATTTTTTAAAATTTTATTATTTGAATGAACTATAGCCCATTCAAGTATGTACAAGAATGTAAAACATTTACAACAATGTACAGAAAAGAGTGCTAACTTCAGAACAATGAGAGAACAATACGCGAAAAGAAATATAATTTTCCTTTGCTTTTGTTGATAAAAAAAGAAAAACCATCAACAAACAAAAACAAACATTTTGATGAAATTTACAATAATAAATAGACTTATGTCATATTTGTAAATATAAAATGTTTAATTGACAATATTTAATGATAAGTGTTAACATAATATCTGTTGAGGTCTCAAGCTTTTTTTTTAAGTTTGCACTCTTTTCTGTATATGATAACAAAATATACAAAACGTTTATTAACAATTTATCATAAATAATCCTTTGGTATAAGCTTGGCTTCAAAGAAGGAAAATATTGTGCCACTGCCCTTTTAAGAGATGCTACTAAAAATGTAACGTGTGTGACATGGTTTCTATACGTTAAGGATAAATGTAATGTATGTGACATTGTTTAAGTAACTATAGTAACGAGTGTTCGGTACAAATTCAGCTTGCAAAAAACAGACATTTAAAATGGCACTCGTCGGGAAAAATGACAAACTTAACTATACATATTTATAGCGGGAGACTATTGTAGTAAATACTGACTTACTGTTAGAGGAAACAGTACAATATACTGACAGTGGACACTACAGGGATTTCATAATAAGAAAATATAGGGTTAACAAAATAAGGTACTCTGTTACAATGAATAAATTTACAAACATGATCTGAACATAGATAGTTAAGATTTTTTATCAAAATCAAGATAAATTCGAGTTCTAAGACGAAAGTTTGAAGAAAAAAGATCTTCATTTGGTTTTGGTCCCCCATTTGTGTCCATGACAGTATAAAATATTCTAGTACTAAAATGGTGATTTTGTTGACGGACTGAGCTTCTTGTAAGACACACTTATTGAAAATATGCATAAATGCGAAAAACGAAAAACGAAAGCAAGAAGCAAAAATCCGCAACAAAACAAAACAAGCTGTAGATGCATTATTTGAAACGAAAGGAAACACTTAAAATGTTCCTATAATTATTTTCATATAAAGAATGCTAAAATGTATGTATTAAGAGTTGAAGCGGTAAGTTAGAGAAAAACGAAAAGATTACTGAATTGCGGAAATGCAAACGTTTTTGGTAGCTTTGAATGAAAAGTTAAACAAACAAAAAAGAGGAAACATGTATACAGTTGATCCAGCAAGAATACGAAGGTTTTTGAAATGACAGTAAATAAAAAAAGTATTGCACAATAAGTTAAGATCAAACAGAATTTAACATTCAAACAATTCTTACACACTGACTGCATCTTTAGTCACATACATAACGCACCGTTACGGTTTTGTTTTTAAAGAATAATGACGTCACCATTTAGAAAACGACGTCATGCGAGTATATACACTGAGGTATTTAATGCTGATGATTACTTTAAGTATTCGAAAATATAATTAAATCTAATTGTCATGTATATATATAGCTTGTTTTCCAAATTCAGCTATTTTATGTTTTGTTCAATCTTTATTATAAAAGGGGGCGATAATTTAGTTTTCTAGCGTGACGCTTCAGCATCAAGAAATTAATTTAGGGGGAGGCTCTCAATAAATTATATCTACAACAAGAACAGACCTCCCCCTGTCAATCACAGATACCGTTACCCTATAATGGTCCGTTTGATTAAAGGTAGGTACTCAATATATTATAATAAAGTACATTTATAGTAGCATTTTACTTTTAAACCAAGACGTCGAGCATATGGAATTAATGGCAAAGCCTTAAATTAGTCAGTGGATGGTTTCGATTTCTTCTTCTTTTTTTTTCAATTCTACTATTTTTTAAATCTGGTTAAGCCACCATCATCCATATAAATAACAAAGAGCAGTATTTTATATGTCATTAACAGGAATTTGTGACGTCTCCGTTTACCGCTTGATTTATAAAGAGATGAAGTTTTTATACTTGTAAAATAAAAATATCAAAATGCTTGGGGAAAATAAATGCAACAAAAATACAAATTATTTAGAAACATGCAAATCACTGACTGAAGATCTTGATAGATAAATACACGAGTGTAACGAGGAATGCATAATTTGCGTAGAAAACACACTTTGTGTTTTACAGTTTCTAAATAACACGTGACAGTTATGACGACAGTCTTCCACTTTATAAGCATCTTGTGTCCATGTCACCAACAGCACCTATGGTTCTTCTGCCCATTTTTGGCAATCTAGTTCTTTTGCTAGACACAAATTAACACCGAGACATTTCTTCATATATATATAAATACTTAATGAATGAAAATACAAATAAAATCCTTATTGTTTAGCTCTCCTCTATTCCTTCCTAGACTCGACTGGCACTTTTTTCGGGAGATTTGCAAATCTCTTGTCTGAACAATTATTGAAATTTGTACAGATATTAGCCCGATCTTGTACCAATCGCCTTCACACTAATAAATATTTTTGAAATCACAATTACGCTTCCTGTACTAAAAATAGCACTTGTATATGCAATCTCAAATTTTGAAAATCCGGCGCATGCGCACCAAACACTATCATCTATCAATGCCTTTGTTTCTTTTGTTAGAGCAATGCCTCACTTTATCTGCCTTTTTAACACATCTTTTATAATAGCGTCTTAATTCCTTTAGTTTTAACGTAAAGAATCGTCTTCTATGCTTATTACACCAATTTTTATAACAGCGCCGCTTCCTCGTACATCCCTTTTTTCTGCACGACTTTTTTGTACAACACTCCTTTTTCAAAGGTTGAAAAGGTGGTGATTTGTTAACGTCATTTCCTTCAACGAATATTTTTATAAAGTTAGCACCTTTCTGTCGCTTTCTAGTCACATTACCACATCGCATCGATCCATCTTTATTCATGCCTAAATACCACTTTGGCATTGTACTATTAAGCTTACGATAATATCTGTCTGTAAAGTTTTCATACTCATGGTCGAACACACAGTGGTTAGTATTAAAAGTCCGCTGTAATATAGAACAAAAAATACGATATAAGTGTGCATATTATAAAATATATAAATATTCAAGGCAATGAATTTATTAACAAGAAACATTATTAAGAAGCTATGAAATCCTGAGACATTGTGCATTGTGTTTATTTTAAGTTAAACTGCTCTCTTAATTTATTGACAAAAATGCATAATTTACTCTATAAATAGAATTTACATATGTATATAAACCTACCGTTTGATATACCACGCTTTGGTCGTTCATACACAGAAAAAGACCCGTAGAGTTCCCTAATATCACGTGACGAGCTGATTGACCTTTACCACGCCACTCTTTTCCAGTATTACTATTCTGAGACCACTTGCCAAGTTGCTGGCTACTATCATTATTTAACCTCACCCCGGTGATGTTCATTATAAGAATGGTAAGTACACCTGAAAATAAATAAGAAAAATATGATTATTTGAAATCATTGTAGAACTGAGAGTAAAAATAAAAGATATACGGAAGACAGTGCTATCGATGAAAGGATACGGAATGTGACGGAATAATGACGGGACGAAATTAGAAGGCTGGCCATTTGGAACTCCTTGCCGATTCCCCAAAGTTTGACGGAAAAGGCCAAAAAGAAGCGAAATGAGACAATCCAAGTTGTTACTATTCCGGCTTAAATTATTGACTCAAATATTTTATAAAAGTAGTGAATTACTTTTAATGGAATTTCAAATATTTAATCAAAATAGAAAAAAAATCAAAATAAATATTCATTTAACATACAGATTAAAAAAAACATGACCGTGTTTCGTGCACCGTTTAAAATTAAAATATTCAATAGTTATTTGTCCCTGTGGTTACTTTGTATGAAGAAGTTTCTTTTTACTTTTATCTTTTAAGTCTAACTGTAGGGTTTGTAGATAAATGTTCTTCAATTTAAAGCTTCAATTGAACTTGAGCATAGTTTAAATTTCATATACTACAAAGACTTGACAACTTTGACAAAAGTAAAAGATTTGACTAGATGTGGTCACGACAGGAGATGCAATTGAAAACTTTTGATATCAAAGTTATGCTTATCAATATGTATGTTTTTATGAGGTTTTTTTTTCTTAAAGCTTTTCAAATAAAAGCAAAAGTCTCCTTTATAAAGTATCATGTAAGGTTAACTTATTTATTACTTTAGTTGATTTGAATACAGTATAATATATAGCTTAAGAGCCCCATTTATACATCAATATTATGAACTAGTTTTTGTCCATGTATGTAAAGAGTTTGTTTCGAAGAAATATCCGATTTTTTTCTTACCGATTTTGTTTTTCGTTCAAAATAAAGACTAGACTTATTAGAGCAAATACATAAGACAAGATGCTCGTTAAATACACATAGATAATTATGACAGGTTTACTAATGGCTTTTCATTTACTGCAGGCTTTTAAAATATTTGTTCAAATGTATCAACTCCCCCAGGCTTGCTTAATATCATGTACGAAATAGTGGTATACTGTTAACTTAAAATCATTTTTTTTAAAATCACACTCAGATGAAAGAAATAACAACGAAACCTGGTAAACTTGTTACCAAGCGTTTATATAAACTGTGATAACGCTTTTCGATTGATAAACTTCAAATGTGCATATTACATTTTGCAGCAAATGCGTTAAAAAAAGAATATCGAATCTCGTTCTCCCTCCTAACAGGAATGAACAGGTGCGAATACCGTTAAATGTGGTATCAGTTGTCAGATGTTTGGGGAAGTCGCACGAATTTGGGTTCATTTTAGTATATGATAGGTTTGAAGCATTCAAAAGTTGTAAAGTTATAGCAAAAGGCGATAGTTTACGTTCTAACAAGTTTTGATATATATACGATAAAATACTGTCCATTCAGTTGGATGATTTTGGCGACATCCGACAACAAGAGATGGTGGAATTTTTAAGAGGATAACCAATGCTGTTGTCATATTTCGTACCTTATCTAGTCATTTATCATCATGCAAGTCCTTCCGCTTTACGTAAACGTCTGACACGTATACGTTAAATAACGTTACGTGACGTTAATCATTATACAAGCGCATTTCTATGATTACTTTTTTTTTTACTTGTTTTATTTATTTTTTTGCATTTTCATCGTTTTGAGTGAAATGTCTCTCGTGGTCAATTGTGGTGTATGCAACTTTATAATGTCTCGTCTGTGATAACTGAAAATCTTAAAAAGTTTAACAGTAATACATTGTATCAAGATCGGGACCATCAGACAAAAGAATTCAAAAAGTTTCGTTACTTCCCAGCCCTTTAATTAATAAAAGTTAACCTTTGCTATTTTCTCTACAGTAACGTGTTCTTACAAATGTAGCGAGTCAATAATTGCTGCTTTTGTTAAAATGAAACAAAATATGAGCGATCAGTCAAACATCTCTTAACAGCTTTTTACCCACAGTCCAGCCTTATAATGGTGAAAGTGTTTACTATTGAAACACGCCAGCAAAATATTATTCTGTTTCATTCACCCTATTAAAGTTACAAGTGCGGTAATTAAATAGGGGTGCGCATACAAGATGTAAAAAATAGCGGTCTGGGGCGAAAAATTAGACTGAGACTTGTATAATTCGCGTTTAAACACGTTGAAAGTATATATACAACGTTTTTTGTGAAACAGAAAAGCAAGAGGGTTACCATTTTCGTAATAGCAAAGAGTAAAAGTATAATTGCTATAGACCAAATGACTTTTCTTTAAATTTGTAATTAATTATTATTACATTATTGTGGCCGAAATTCAAATCAAATAAAAGTGCGCATGTTTCATTACATGTAAATTTGTATCGGTAGGCAACAATTTGCACAGTGACCTGGTCATCACCGTTCGTTTAGAACTGCACTAACTAATACGCTTGTGCTACTGGAAACGAATAGCAGTATTTTTCTCGAATTACCAATCATCGTTTAGAATCACAACACATTATCTTACGCTATAAAATGTATATCGCGTTCGTCTTTGACCTTACACCGACTGAGCCTAATTGCCCCAAGCGAATGTTTAGCAACTATTCAGCAGAAATTGTTACCTACTTGAAAAAAAAAAAGAACGCACTCATAAAATCTTGATATATAGACAGAAATCATAATTTTTCCAGGTCTCCTGTAGGCTTTTCTAATTTATGAGAGATTTCTTTTTCCTAGCGTAGCTTTTTTCTCCCGTCGCTCGGTATTAATGCGCGGTCATTTGGCACCGACACAAAACGTTTTTACAACTAATTCTGAATGTTAATAACAAATTCTGATAGAGAGAAGAAATACAATTCCGCTACAATTATTACTAAATTGCAATGCTAATATTGTTATTAAGAGACCACTGTTTTCTTGTTATCAAAGTGTTTAACACGGTCTGGGACTTGCGAAAATGTGATACGATTGCAGACTGGGTGTACTTATGTACTTTCAGGAGATAAAACTGCATACCTTAAAGAAAGCAAGACAAATACCAAGGTGTTAGGCTTACGATTTGTTTGCACTTAATGCATGTGCATTTTATTCTCAATGAAAATATTTCTTCAGCAGAAGTTCTGTAGAAGACTGTATTAAATGAGAACTTTGGGCATGATTTTAACAAATTTAAGCATTAAATGTTAACTTTGTCATGTTTTCTGTATATAACCTACTTTGTTCTCGTTTTTACACACTATTATTCACCGTCCCTCCAGGAAATGCATTAATAGTATTCCGTGATTTGTATCTGTCTACAAATTTAAACATTGCAAAGACCTTTTCTGGTCCTGTTCCAAAGATTTGTACTATTTGTTACGGGTAATATGTTTACAATTCGCCTCTTGAGATTAGCATCAATGTGATTATCACGGCTCATCTATGATAACGGAACACCGTAAAACAACAAAATGAACGGCACCTCTCATTACCGAATTGTCGGCCGAATAACGGAAACATTGAGGCATGGACATGCAAAGAACAGCTAAACTTCAGATCAAGTTATTGATAACGTTGCACATTGTCAGTAAGAATGTTAACACTGGCAAAGATCTTAACTGTCTGACTTAATCATCGGATTGATTAGAGAAGAAACGATCAAAATATTAATGAATCAATCAAATTGCATACGTTCCCATCAAGTTCGTGAGTATTAAGACTGCTAATCAAGTACACCTCTCTTTTTTCCCCCTTTGCAATTGTGTAAATTAATGTTGAAATAATTGCGAATTAAAAGAATGTCTTCTGTTGAAATAGTTTGTAATCTAACCCCGCGTTCACAAGATGCCTATCTCGTTATTTGTCAAAATAAAAACTTGCTAAGATATGTCACTATTTAAATTTAATTGTGGGAACTTTTTAAATGGTTTTAAAATGATACGATTTGTAAAATATCATCAGAGGATGAGTTCAAATAAAGTTTCAATGCATGTTGACTTGAACCAGGCGCGAGACAAGAGGGGGTCGTAAAATTTTAACAAGGGGGTAACACATATTCTATTGGGGGTGGGGGTTAGTTGATATTTTTTAAGATTTTCGAGGGGATAGGAGAGTCATGTAAATTGTAAAGGCTGAGAAAATCAAAATATATGACGAACGTGAAAGAGAATCGTGCGTGTTTTATCTTACGGAATAGACAAAATACGACATGTTTAACACTATCAAATGATAAATACGATGATTCTGTTTTATTTGAAGCATTTCATTAGACTTTATATATCACATAAATTGTCATTTACCTAAACAACAATCCTTCAATTCATTTACCTTGTCAATGGTAAAATATGCGTAGAATTTAAACAGGTTTTGCTTCCGCGTTCAAGAAGCTTCATCAATCCATTTAATTAAATGCATTCATAACACTTTATAAAATAGTAGTAGTAATAATTCATGGCTACATACGAAAGTGTTAAAAAAGTAAAAGGCAAAATGCTTAAATGAAATTACGATGTTTAACCCGCATGAAAATTATAATATGATGCAAGTTTTAAAGGCGCTGTTATAAAAATTAAACAAACAAAATAAATAAACAGTAGGAGATTAAAAAATATATGGCTAATGAATTCACAAATTGCGAAAGTACATTTTTTAGCGAAAATGTACCTCCTTTCGGGCCGGCGGAATAGTTGTTTACAAAGGCATATTGAAAATCGATCTAAAAACGATTTTATCTCCATACATATATGTATTAATCACTTAAGTGAGAAATGACAGACAACACTGTTAGACATAAAGTGTGGGTTTGTTTTTTCAATCGTTATTTAGAGTTATTTTGTGCACTTTTGTTTCGCATACTTTAGATCGTCAAATATCTTGTTTGTTGCATCTAAGTACCCTAACCCACATATTTGAAAAATACCTAGATAATCGGGAAAGATCCTTAACTGTTCATACAGAGATATAAGCTAATATTCTCCGGTCTCATTAATCATAATAGTACACAATACTAAATAGCTTTCAAATGAAGAATTATTGAATATTTATAAACACTATTGAATGAATATATGCTGAATATTTACAATATCTCCTCCTTCTCAAGGTCGTATGATTTCAATGGCATTTAACAGACCTACAGACAGGCAAAGAAGGCTTTGAAACAACGCTCTATAACAGCAAGAAGTCAATATATTGTCTATCAAATCTGAGATGGTGCCAAACGATGCGGAAGTAATTTTGTCGTGTTTTTTTTCCCAGTCGATCATGGGATAATTTAAAACTCAATACAAATTTGTTTCGTGATTGAAAAAAAAGTTTAGAATTTTGCTTTTTATCTATATTTTAATAATTATTTGTCTTCGTTTGCGTATTGTTTTTATATCTTATAGAAAACAACTAGTGTATAGTCCCTGCATTAACCCTTTGACATGCGCCAGTTTATTTTGAAAGAAAGAAAGAAAACTGCACAAGAATGACAAATGTTTGAAATTCCGAACATAAGTGTGTCAATATTGGGTGAAAACAGCGATAAGTAAGAATAGTTTATTTTCACCAGTTTTTGCTTAAGCCGCGATAATTTATGCAAATTATAGGCATTCTTATATATATGAAAGGCTAATATATGAAAGTAGGCGCTTTTCTTCCCGTTTATTGACAAAAAGTTAAGTTTAATGGACGAGAAATGGCAAAATATGAAAACTGTCTCTAAAAATTATAAGTGTTTTTCCCTTACGTTAAGTGAAAATAATTTCGTGGTTCGGGTTAATGCAGGTCAAATTTGCTGTATATTTATGTCATCCTTTTTTTGTTTGACAAACAAGCAAAAGAGATAGTAATTTTTGGCGTTTTTCTTTCTTTCTCTTTTAATATTTTTTGGCGTTTCAAATCATTTAGTTTACTTTATGTAATTACTTTTCGTTTCTTGCAGCGTCATTACTTACATTACTAAAATTGATCGGAATCGGTTGATGCATTGCCTCGATTAAGTTTGAAAAATTGTAATGAAAATAAAAACAAAGCACAGCAATGATGACGAAGCTTATTTTGACTTATATTGTAGTCTGACCATAGTGTTAAACAAGAACGTGGTCAACACTCACTAGTGAGATTCAAATCGTGTTTAAAGGCTGAAAATCTTAATGAGAAACATGACTGCATGGTATCTACCTGGAGCGCACCGAAGAGATGTGAATGATTATTAATGGTGCATGGTGTTTGAACATTTTAGTAAATTACAACAAGCACGGTCGTCCCTCAAAGTTCAAGTACATATTTATTTAACATAGTTATAGATTGGCTTGTTATTATCAACATGATCCATTTTCGTTTACTTTTAACCACTCAAGGGTAACAGAAAGTGTAGAAAAAAAAGAGTTTAAAACAAAGGATTTTGTACTTACAAAATTTCGTAGTGTCTTTGACACCTCTTGTCCCATTACTATGCATCTCCAAGAATAAATTATGGCGTGCCTGGAAACAAAACTTCCTATTGTCGTCTAGTTCCCTCCAGCCTTCGGGGTGTGGGTTATTCCAAGTAGGGTTCACGTGTGCTGGTTGGGGACCAGTTAGCGTCGTGGCTGGTAAACTAGCACTTGCAGTCAGAGCGGGGCTCATTGCTTATTTAGACCACATGAATGCGACCAACGGCCGCTTAACGAAGTTAAGCACGAGTCACACATTCAATCCAGTGATTATTTCCAATGCCGTGTATAATCCAATGAAATTATTATATTACAAACACTTTACTTGAGATTTTGAAAGGATGAAATTCAAACTTTATCACTATGATACAGTACATGTATTATAAATTCTGACGCAAGTTAATCGTCGCTGTGACATTTTGTTTGATCAGCCTCACATTTTGATTTCATATATAAATCTTCACAACATATCAACACTTTGTTTCAAATTCAGAAAAATCCGAAATCCGGAACCAGCGTATCTTAAAGATGGTCAGCTAACTATTTTTTTGTTAAGACACTTTATTAAACCCGACTGACGTATCCTTGTTTATAATCCAATGAGCACGCGTTCCTGTTTTAATAAAACAATAAATATCCGTGTGCAACTATATCCTTTCCTTTTTGCTTTTTTCTATGTTACAATATTTCTTGATAATATTCTCATCACCTGTAATGACAAATGTTTTACAAGTTATAACACAATTTTCATTCGAATTAAAGCTTTATAGACTAGTGAAGTATTAAATACATGACCATCAGAAAGTTTGATTAACATCGAGTTGATTGGTTTGAGCAGCGAGTTGGATTAGTTACTTCTCAACTGCAGACGCCGCGTCTGCCATATGTCCAAACTGTTTGGCCACGCATCAGTGGTTTTTAATTACCTGACGGAATGTTTAAGAAAAACCGGCCACTAGGTACCTAAATTGAGAAACAATTACTTGTTTTCTCACACCTTTTGTAAATGTATGTGGACAGTTGGTATTTTAATTGTCTCTCAATCATTTTCTCATCTTTTTATTTAAAGAAGGGAATATGTTTGAGATGACCTGTCAATTAAGAACTAGAAATACGTATTCGAATTGCATGAATTTTTAATAGTAAAAAAATGTACGTATTTAGAATTTGAGTATTTCCAACGACTTTGTTATATTTAAAATAAAATTTTAGACACTACTAAGCCCCAAATAAATGTTAAATACGAACTAACTTGCGTATTTTGTATTTATTTTAATAAATGTATAAAATATAATTGAAGTAAGTATACTCTATCTACATGTTTAGTACAAAAGATTTTACTTTCAGCAAAAAAGAGGTGTTATTTTCTTAGACTGAATCATTAAAAAGTAAAAAGTTAAAGTAGCTACACAGATATTGTTGCGTTTCACGCGTGGATTTAGAAACAACCATCACTAATCTGATATTACTTAATCAGGTAGGATTTAAACGATTCAACAGAGATGCATATTAAGCAATCTTTTCTCAAGGGATACCCCGATTCTCTCTCCCTTTTCACACCATGCTGCCAAACTCGCTCGTACGTGCTTATACGTGTATGTAAATTACTTAAAATTAACCCTTTGCCTGCTGTTAGTGTTACCCATACGACCAGTGCAGACCCAGATTAGCAGGCACATCTGATTGTCTGCACTGGTCGCTATTGTGATCAGTACTTATTTCGAAAATTTCCCTAAAAATGATGAATGTTTTTTTTTTTCCAGATTGAGAGATGGACAAGTTTATTAAACATATTTAATGTGATAGAGGTAAGTGTGTGGAGAGTGTCGGCGGGACTTAATGCACGTGAAGTTCACTTAATCCTAATCTTCCACAGATGCGCTAATCATAAGGATAACTTTTTTGAGAGTGTAGTAAAAAACATGTATGAAGAATAATACATTGTCAGTGACTAACTAGTAACAAAAGTACAGCAAAGTAAATCTATAACTTACTCTCAAAACCTATTTCATACAATGCTAAACTTATTATTTTAATAGGTCTGTTTAAAATTATTAAAGTACGACATATTTGCGCACTCCGCAAAAATAAAGCAATTTATTTTAACTTATATATGTTAATTTTACTTAACTAGAAATAAATTATGTATTGTGTATCTTATAAATATCATAGGCCGACATAAAAATTATACATGTGTACAAGGGTGATATTTTCTTCGTGCAATCTTGTTATATATCTAGATAATGTAACCGTGATAAAAGTTTAATACTATATGTGTTTATTGTTTAAACATTTTCCTAAACGTAGATAAAGTCAAGATGTTTGTCAAATACGTACGTTGTCAGATTTCAGATGTGCATATATTTCAACTTCAAAAGAAAAAATTGACACATTTACCATTTTATTTAAAAGAAATAATACAGTTTGTTGAAAGCAAAATATACAAACGATAAAACATTTTCCCTCTCCAGAATTTGTTCAATTGGTCGGGTTTATATATATATAAATTACGGTCATTAAAAACTAAATTCGTCAGTTACCAAAGTTTGCACGACGTGAAAAAATACAAGATAAAAAAGAAGAACAAATTTGTTTTACTTTACTTTTCATTTTCAATTGTTTGAAATACATAACTTTATAATACAATTTCTTACCTCTTAAACATTAAATATCCCTAATATTGTTAAAATTGCATTTCTTTTTAAGTCCATGTTTTCTAACGCATGTGCGTTAACTTTTGTAGTTTGATTTTTAAAATGTTTTTTTTTAATTGTTATATCCAATTAATAGTAAGTAACAAGTATAACAGTTACAACGTTGTAATATCAAACGCTAAAATCCACAATGAACAACCTAGCTCTATTGAATGTATTAATATTTCTTTACACTTGTGCGCATGCGTGTCATTACGGTTTTACTGGTTCCCATACTAGAGGAAAATTGTATACATGAAGCCGCATGAAAGCCTGGATGCAACCTAATATTTACAATTAAAATGGCTGCCAATGCATTGCGAAAAAATATTTTGAATGTTAAATGTCTTAGAACAGATTTACGACAATTTCATACTGTTAAAAAGTCTGCGACAGGTTTGAATACCACAATTATTGTTGGGACTTCGTGTACTTGTTTAGTTGCATGGCAGGCATGGCGGAAATATCGCAAAAATGAGAAATTTCTTCCAAAAGTTTATGCTGCCCAGGTCGAGAAAGCAGAGGTATTTATATCTTTTATGGATTTCATCACTTTCTTTTTATAGACATAACGTTATTTCTGACATTGGTGCAATCCGACGTGTTGTTTATTTCTTATAATAAATTTACAGTAGCCTTTTTTGACTATGAAAATGTTGCAAATTAAACAAAAAAACAAAACAGCTAAAAAACACCAAAAATCATATACATATTAAAAAAAATCACCAGCAAAAAACCAAAGACTAATTGACATACACACATAGCAACTCATTTTTTCGTATTTAATGCTTTGTACTCCTATGTTTATGTCTTCACTATATTTATCATATCTCAAGTACAGATGGTACAAGGGAGACAACTTGTAAATTTTTACAAGATAAAAGTCATTGTGATACCTACTGTTTACACAAGCCCACTTGATTAATCTGATAATTAGATCAAAGAAACTTGTAAACTGGTCATCAGCATTTAACACATACACACTATGCACATGAATGTGTAGATTTTCTGGTCATTATGCTATCACAATTATCAAAGGGTCCAATCATTAGTGTAAATGACTTTGACAGATTTGTTTGAAGATTGATAATAATAATTTTGTTAAAGCAATATGTTATTATGGGATACAGATATAGGGTGCAAATTTTGACATGATTATTTATACAGCGTTTTAACAGATAAGTGTGGGAAATTTTTTTTAAGAAAGTTATTTTTTGCACTTGGGTGTTGGCTCATTGTACATTCTTTAGATGGTAAAAAATAGTGTTGGCCTTATAATTAATTGACCATCAACCAATAATCTTAAGAATGAAATTGTTAATGTATAGAACTTTTATGTATCATGTAATATGTGTGAATGCATTTAATTTGCACATATTTAAAGTAATGAAACTGAAATAGATAGGCCAATGATACCTAATTAGAATTTGACTTATTACATAATTATGGTGGTAATTAAATAAGTGAAGTCATTTATGTTCTTGTTTTTACATTAATTAGTAGGATAAATAAGAGATGTTTAACACATTTCATTGCCTTTGTAATTGCTATCAAACACTCTAAATGATATTTATGATATTCAAAATCCAATTTTATTTGACAAATTAATTATCATTTATTCAAAATTGTATATATACATACTTTACATATTTGTAATGCTTAAAAGGCAAGACTTCTTTCCCTTTTGAAAATGAAACACCCTCATCTTTTCCCAATTTTATTAGCTAACTCCCCCAAATAAAAGATGTTTTCTATATTATCCATATGTTTGGGAATTTCTGTGTATTTGTGTACTTTAAAAAAAAAAATTTTTTTTGACATTTTCTTTCCTGATTTGACAAAACATGTTGATTAAATTTACTCAAAAGAACGAGCCTCAGACAAAGATTTTACAAATTAATATTTTTTAGATTGCCTTTTTATAGTTTATAAAATGATTTTCTGCATCTGATGAAAATGTGAAATTATGAAAATAATAAAAATAGAAAGACTGGATTGTTACCCCTTTTTTTTGTTAACTTAAAGCTTGTGAGTGAAAATTTAAAGAATCAAGTTTCAAAGCTGTATGATATATAGTTAATCTAGGTCATTTTATTGCAAAGTTATTCCACCCACTTTAAAAGGATAATTATGAAAACATATTGCAAGTTACTGTATAATTATATCCAATTTGACTGTCAATTAAACTTTTGAATCATTCATAAAAATTCTCTTTTTTTCAAGCAAAATCAGACAGGAATTTATAGAATTTTGATTCAGTTGTAAAGAAATAATTCTTATATTTGATGTTTGAAGGTCATCATAGATAAGGGTTATATTGTTATGATGAAAGGTGTTTTCATCAAGGTAAACAGCATGGGAGGGTCAGAGGTTACTTAAGTTTCAAATATTGAAGCTTGCTTTTGGATCATAAAGGAATGCATAACATTTGTTATTAAATCTTCATTACAATAAGCGTGCTATGGACATGATTCTTGTATCAATCATTATGTATATTAGGATATACAATTTCAGGTTGAAGATAAATCGATCCATGCAGGAGGTATATATTCGAAAATCAGCTTTCTGCAGAATTTTCGTGTAACATGATCATCTATTATGCTTATAATTGTGTACTCTACCCACCCTGTTTAAATACTGCTAAGGTAGAAAAATATAATGAAATCAGATTTTGACAAAATGAATATTTTGCGGATAAGCAAAAGGAAAAAAAAAATGAAGATTAAATATACTTATCTATGCAGTTTTTTAGTTGTCATTTATTTATCAATTTCTGCACAGTTCATTTCTTTAAGAGTTTACTTTCCAGACTTTTCACTGCCTAAGACAGTAAAAAAATTGAAACACCCAAATGGCAAATGAATCAAGCTTGTTTGCATTGAACAACTTGTCCCTAAACTGCGGGCATGTTTAATGTTTAGCACACTGAACATGTCTGGAATATGTCCCTTTGGAATAGCTATGGTCAACAGTAAGATAGATGCGCGCCTGAGTTGGTCTGAATTGTGTTAAATTTTGACAAAATCTGTAATGTTTCAAGACAGTACCAACAAATTAATTTCACATAGGATGTTTAGAATGTAAATTGAGGAATCACTATAATATAAATGAGCTGCGCCATGACAAAACCAACATAATGCGTTTGCGACCAGCATGGATCCAGACAAGCCTGCACATCCATGCAGTCTGATCAGGATCCATGCTGTTCGCTTACAAACCCTATTACAAGTAGAGAAACTAATAGTGAACAGCATGAATCCTGATCAGACTGTGCGGATGCGCAGGCTGGTCTGGATCCATGCTGGTTGCAAACCTATATTGGTTTTGTCATGGCGCGACTCAAATGTATTTCAAGTTTTAAGAAACTGTTTATCATAAGATCTCAATCTGAGTGAATATTCAATGACAAACTTTGTTGACCTGATCATGAATTAAAATTTTACCTTCAATTTAAAATGAGCAGCTTTTAAAAGACCTACATGATGACACTTATAATAGTTTATTCTCCCCCTAAAAACAAACTCTGGTTCAAATATGAATGCATTTAAAACATACATTGATCAGTACATTTATAACTTGTGGTTTTGGATATATTGAGTACCCAAATAAGCCATAATATAATATGATATTCATACATGTTTTACTTTTTTTTTATCTTCAAATAGCAATAAAAGTAGCCAAATTTATTGATATCCTTTAAACTTTGAATGGACTGTTCCAAATTCAAAGCAGGGAAAATCCATTAAACAAATTCAGCATCTTTAAATGCTTATTGCGAACATGCCACAAGTATAGAGCTGTGCCAGCTTGTTTCATCAGTGCAGTTAGTCTGAATATGCTCTGTACTGTTGATTTTTAATTTTCGCCACCCGAAAATAACAATGAACATTTCCAAATTGAAAACAGGGTGTGTCCATTATAAAAATTTAGTGGTGTTTTAGTTAAGCTACAAGTAATCATTCATCATCATATGTTCCCCCATTACATTTTGTTACAATGTACGATTTCTTCCAGAAAACTTCAAATCCAAAGACCCATAGAGAAGTGAGGTTTGAACAGTTTGCATCGGTACAATGTGAAGGTGTAATTTATATGACGCCTCAAGATTTTCTGGAATCTGTGACGGAGGAAGTACCAAGACGTAAGATTATAATGAATTATCATTATTTTGAAAACTAATTGGTGAAAATCACTCATCGCACATGCATGATTCATTTATGATATAAGCCGCTTCACGACAAAACCAACGTAATGCGTTTGCAACCAGCATGGATCCAGACCAGCCTGCGCATCTGCGCAGTCTGATCAGGATCCATGCTGTTCGCTTACAAACCCTATTACAAGTAGAGAAACGGATAGCGAATAGCATGGATCCTGATCAGACTGCGCAGATGCGCAGGCTAGTCTGGATCCATGCTGATCGCAAAAGCATTACGTTGGTTTTGTCATGACGCGGCTCAATTATCTATAAATTTGTGATTTGTCAGTGCTCTTAACCTTAACTAACAATAATGAATGTAACTCTAATATAAGAAATACTGAAAAATTTTGATGTCCAGGTACATTGTATTGATACAAGAAAAGGTTGAAAGAGCTTCAAATCAATCAGAATTACAAAAATGAATTACAGCGTACTGGGTTCAGCCGAAACGTCGGTGTATTTAAGGGAATTTTAAGAATTGCTTATTTTTTATTATCGAAAATAAAATAGAAATAAAAAAAACATAAAATACCATGTCTGTAATATTGTTTGATTAGCTCATACTTCATAAATAAAAACCTATCTAGTCAACATTGCAAAATATAAGAAATAGGTTATTTAGTGAACTTTGTTCAACATTGTTTAATGAACTAGATTTAGGATTATAACAAGTCGTGTACTGAATCACTCCATCTGCGTGACATTTTATACACGACTTGATATAGCAACATCCACTTGTCTAGATTGGAATACGAACATTTCATCGTGAACATGTACAAAATTTTCAGTCAAAGTCTAAAGCAAAGTTTTCAGTCGCATTAATGTTCTGTAAATATATAATATTATGTTGAATGCATTATTAATATAAAATTTGAGCTTTTAATTCATAATAAATAAGTCATTTTATGTTAAGTATTGTGTATTATGTATATATTTAGATTTACATTAAGCTTTTAATTATTTATTTTATGAAAAAAATCATAGCTTTTAATTGAAAATAAATCAAGTACATTAAAAATAACAGAGCGTAAATAAAATTACAAATAACTTTGAAGTTACCATATTTATTATGATTTGTGTTATAATATAAAGAAGTCAATTCTATATGAAGTATATTATCTGAATTACAGTTTTAATTGTAAATTTAGTAATTTTATGTAAAGCATATTGTTGCAGCTCTGAAATGCAAAATATCATCTTATAATTTTGATAATGGTATTGGTACGGCATTTAATTGCTGGTGATTTGCTAAAAAAAGAAGAAAAAAAAGATAAAAAATAACATGCTAAGGGAATGGGATATAAAAAGTGAAATTATCTTCAAAATAGATCAGTCTGAAGTTGTATCGAGGTTTTTTGCCTCCCAACAAATGTCGGTTTTTATATTTTGTTCATTGTTTTATGTATTTCGCCAGAAGGGGGAAATCAGTGTAATTGGTTTGTTGTTTTAAGACAGTGCAATGAAAACAAGCAGTAAAAATAACCACAAAACTGGAGATATTACATATTGTAAGATTATATTGATTATTATGCTAAGAACTACAAGACTTTAAGCATTATAGAGAAATAATAGCTAAAAGATAATGGTGTAAATATCTTGAAAAAATATTTCCATTCAAATCATGTCTATTAAAAGTAGCAAAATGTAAAACAAAGTAATATTTTGACTTCTATGTGTTCTATTAGTTGTTCTCCCCTCCAAATCTTTTAGTTTATTGTTTATTCTATGCAAAATATTAAACCATAACATAACATCACTATTATTTACATACTATTTACCAAAAAGCAACAGAAAAAAGGATGTAGTGAGTAACTTTTCGAAAACTGTAATAGTACACCAACAATGAGGGGCTTTCTGGAAATCAAAAAAATAAAAGCAATTCTGGGCATAATGGGCCTTTAATAATACTATTTGATCATAAAGATTTGTTTCTTAGCCCTGGTTTGATAGTACTATAATTCATACTAATTGGAATCACTCAGCACTACTATGGCTTATCAAGGTATTAATGGAATATTTGTTTTAGTATATGTGGGATACCTGCAGATTTTCTCCAGAATTGTTTTCACTATCTATTTGATGTTGTTTATAAATAGACTAATGTCATATGCCGAACAAATATGCATATTTTGATCATACATGTCATTTTGTTATGTAATCCGCGTGATGGTATGGGAGTGTAGCTGTTGGAAATAAGAGCCAAAGAGAGAGAGTGGGTCGAGATTCTATATACATGTTGATAATGGATAATCAGTCTAATCAGCACTTTTTTACCCCCTCTGTCCGCTAAATCTTTGATTAGTATATATATATGCAAGTTGTGCATCTGGATAGTGCGTCTGTCCATTCTCAGTTTCTCTTATTGTCTTATTGCCTTGTTTTATACTATTTACACTGTATTTCGCTTGATTAATTTGATTTTCAAAATTGTGCTCCTATTGTTTTTCATTTCAAGCAATTACCTTGATTAAAAGAATGTAATTACTTTGTTTATCAGAATAAATGAATAGATTAATTAAACAAATTTATTCTGGCATAGCTACAGGTTGCAGAGAAGCCAACCATTACATTCTAAATGAAGCTTTACACTTCTTGTTTTGTTTGTTGGGTTTTATAAGTCACACTTTCAAAGGTCATATTGCAACTTTCAGCTTTACTGCTGGTGGAAAACCTCAGATGCCCCTCAAGCATTATTTCAGGCATAATGCGTTACAGCCCTTTGCATAATGAGTTATAGCCCTTGGCATGCTAGCAGTGATAATGACTTACATAGGTCAATAGTAAAGAACCAGGCCAGCACAGATGTGCCCGCTGATCTTGGACTGCACCGGTACTATGGTAGCATGATTAGAATCTGTTGCCACCAGCAGGCTTGAAAGTGTTAATTTTACTAAGGGATATGATTGAAATTGCCTTCACGTGAACAGGTTAAAAAATGTTATTTTAAGGTTGCAATTAAGTTTTACACTGTTTTTAGATATGGAGAAAAAAGCAATTAAAATAGAAACAGATTTTTTTTTCATAGCTGCCTATGCAATTTCATATTGTTTAAAGATGTCTTGGCACAGTATATCATTAGAAAATTAACTTAAAAATACAAGTTTCTGTAATGGTAGATTGGACATTTGAGTATCTCTTTGTATAAATTTGACATGATTTAATACTGTATGATATAAAGAAACTAGTTTTGGATGATTCACTATTTTTAATTTGGCATATTTTATAATGGAGTTACCTTATCAAAATTAAACAAGAATGGAACAAGGTTTTTGTATGGGTTATAAATTGTATTATTAATTTTTTCTAATATTATGTTTTTATAAATACCAATGACTCTCCTATGGTCTGGAATTTGCATTTTTTTAGGGGTTCAATGTCAGTTAATCTTTGTGAGATGAATCATTTTATTCACTTTCCTAAGTCTTATCACTTTGCCTAAATTAATTTATTCGAAAACTGAATGATCGGCAATTTTTCATCTTCAGAACTGAAGTTTCAAACATGATAGGTAAAGTCTGAGGGATTTTGAGGTCACCGTTTTACATACAAAAATCTAACTCCATATTTGCGAAACTGTAAAGGAGAAAATCATCGACATTCCTTCTTGAAATTAGGATTAACCAGTGTTATTATAAATCTAAACAAGTATTAGACGAGGGAAATAATCTAGATCGCGTAGAATGCCCAATGTCTTTGAAGTGTTTAATATTTGAATATATTTCACAGAGGTGTAGCCACATAAAGTTGTGACTTATAAAAGGACATTGGCATCAGGCCAGTGATAATCATTTTCACCTGTCTGGTGAATTTTAAAAGAACAGTCTCCTCATCACGGTATTTTTCATTGACTTCAAACTCGGTGGTTATTTAAATTGTACCCCACCCACAGTTCCATTATAATAGTATAATATTTATGAATGTCAGCTCAAACAAAGGCTTTTTCCTGCTTATAGGACCTAAGAGTCAATAAATTTATATTTTTCCCTAAATACTGCTGAATAATGAGAACTTACAATATTTTTCCTCTAAATTTGTTATTATGCATCATATTGCCAAGAAAAAAGAATGGGATTAGCTAAATCAACAGGGGGAATTCTTTGGACATTTAAACTTACAGTGTAAAATATTTGAACTGTTTCTTTTTTAAGAAAATACAATATTACATACTTTGTATAAGGAGTGACTTTATGTAAACATAAACTTAGTTGGATTAATAGGAAATTTGAATGTAATAGTACACTATGATGAAGATTCATCTGTACACAATAGGTAATAAAAATGTACCGAATCAACTTCCCAAGGAAAAATGTTAATTCAGGAAGTTGATTTATATGAACCATATCATGGGTTCACACTTGTAACCCCCATTCTGCATATCTGATCTTATATAATATATAGTATCTATATATGGTATACAAGGTTTTAAATGACCCAAATAAATGAAATGCATGCTGCTGAATTAGTGTACTATAGTTTTGAATTTGGAACAACTATATAAGTTAACAGTATAGAGTCTGATCAGACTGTACTGATAAGCCGGCTGACCTGGCTCTATACTGGTGACAAAGACACTTCAGTTTAAAGCAGGTCAAAGGTTAATGCAAAAATAAAAAATCACGCAAAGTTGAAATATTTTACAATGTATAATTACAAATTATGATCTTATTTTCCTCTGTACCTTATTGTTTATAATTATTTAATAAAGTCGGGGTCATGCAAACCTTGCAATGGTCACAATTTATTGAAAATGGTACAAAAACAAAACCTTTAAGAATATTTTTGGACTGCAAAACTCTAATTTTACAGGTTTATAATATGTATTTTAATTAGCTTCTTTGGAAAAAAAACCCCACAAAATTCCAACAAAAAAACCCCTAAAAACTAGTCGTTTGAATCGTAATTTGAAGACTTTGTAAAAACTTTATGCTGGATTCATTGATCGATCCACAGATGTGCTAGAGAATCAGAACCAGTTTTATCATTTTAAATCCTTATGACATAAAAATATATTCCCTTAAATCATACAATACCTATAAATTCCAACATTCGTATATTATCATGTTATATGAATAGATTATCAGATATACACTGAATGAAGGAATAATTGCAAATAAGTTCGCAAATATGTCATTATTAATGTAAGAAAATACTTACATTTATTAAATATATTCACAAACACACGTAGTTATTCTGGTATGCTAAATATTTCACTAATTTTTTGTCTCTATTTCAAACGTCATCCGTTATTATTACATTCAAGTAAAAAAAAAATCCCGATTGTATTGTACCAATTTTAAGAACACAGCAAAGACCTTGAACGTTTTCTCACAAATTAAACTGGCTTTGATCGTGATATAAGTAAATTATTTGCCTATCCCACCTTTCGACAGACTATCTTCCTGATAAGCGTAATGTTGTCATAGAAGGAATCCCAAATAAGGAAAAAAATAGAGAAATGTAAAAATAACATCAAATGAAGGTACAGCATTGCATTTTTTTTCTGAAAATAAATAAGATCTATTTTGCTCAAATTTCAATATCAAGTTGTAACAGAACAGTTACAGGGATGAAAGAAGGTAAAGAATAAATACAAATTGTTACCTGCTAAATTTTTTGGGGGATTTTCAGTTCTCAAGTTTGATACCCATTTGGTGCTCGAAGGGGGGGGGGGGGAGGGTCATTAAATAATACCTTTACAAGCATTTAAGTGATGAAACAAAAGGTGTATACACAGCAGTCAAAATTAGTTATAATTTTTAATGTCAAAAATTTGTTTAGAGTTAATAGATTTTTAAATTTTAATAGAGTTTTTTTTTGGTTGTAGAAATGCATTGAAACTACATACCGGTATTTCCATATTTGCAAAAATTCTTTGCTTTTTGCCTTTTTTGGTTTTAAGTAACTAAGTCGTTATATAATATATACAGTCATGTTTACTTTTAATACAAGTATAAATTGATATTTGTGTGACTGATAATTGTTCTAGGACGTAATTATAGAAGAATGGGAGAAAAATGTACTGCACATGCAGCCATTTAATGTAACATCTTCTTTCCTGATGCTAAAAATAGACATAAACCCTGATGCTCAAAATAGACATAATATGGTTTGACTTATGCATACTAGCGAAGTTATACTTGAAAGTATTTGACATATGCATATTGTAAATAATTTACATAAATTAGTAATTAATTAACATAAATTAGTAATTAATTAACGTAATTAACTGAAACAGTTGTAAGACACATATTAAAGTATTATATTATGAACTTACAACCTGATAATGAACTTTTGAATTATTTTAAAATTAAAATCTGCAAGATTTATGAAATTGCCAACATACATTTTTTAAATTGGCAAACTATATCATTAAAACAATGCTTCCTGAAAATGTATGCTGTATCATTTTAACTTGCATTGCATTGCCAATAATCAAGGCATTAACATATACATGTACCGGTATATTATGTAAAATTATGTTTAAGTTTATGATGGAATGTAGATCTCAACTGATCTAATATATAGAAATCAGACTGTATTTACACAATAAAGAAAAAAAAATCTACAATTATAGAAGTTCAATATGTGTGATAATATTGCAAATATTGAATTACTTTAACCTGTGTCTGATCTCCACTGCATAGATATGAAAATAATACAGCTATAAATTTGCATTTAAATATCCTTATGTAGTTATAGTTGTAGGTGTAAAAGTTAACTATCATACTGGAACACACGTTTCTAGCAGTGCCTACTGGAACACAAGCTGTGCCTACTGGAACACTAGCAGTGTCTACTGGAACACAAGCTGTGCCTACTGGAACATAAGCTGTGCCTACTGGAACACTAGCAGTACCTACTGGAACACTAGCAGTGTCTACTGGAACACAAGCTGTGCCTACTGGAACACTAGCAGTGCCTACAGGAACACAAGTGGTGCTTACTGGAACACCAGCAGTGCCTACTGGAACACTAGCAGTGCCTACTGAAACACATGCAGTGCCTACTGGATCACATGCAGTGCCTTCGTGAACATTAGCAGTGCCTACTGGAACACTAGCTGTGCCTACTGGAACACATGCAGTGCCTACTGGATCATTAGCAGTGCTTACTGGAACACTAGCTGTGTCTATTGGAAGTTGTACAGTGATTTATTGCCCTTTTGTGGAGTAGGATCTGGTTTAGGTTGACCTAAATCCAAACCAAATATTTTATGACCGAAAGTAATCATGAGGTACATAAACAATGAATTCATTTTGCCTGGCCTCAACACTGCCTATCTAAGGTGTTAAGATAGAATAAGGACTTATTGATGAACCTGCCAACACCTTGGTGTAAAGATAGTGTGTAAAGCTAGTATCATGGTGACCTTCATATACACACTGATACAAACTAAACTGACCTACTGTTTACAAAAAATGATGGCCTATGACAGAAGATCTTTGACAGAAGCAAACATGAACTTGAGATCCAGCGTGAAAAAATCCCAGAAACTAAGGCTTACAACTGTAGATATCTGGTTAAAATATTAAAGAATGATATGGCAATTACAACAGTAGATTTATGGGTATAAAGCAGAGAAGATGGTCTACAACTGTAGATATAAGACAAAATGCTGGCCTACGGCTGAAGAGATCCTTGGTTAAAACATAGATGATGGCCATATAACAACTGAATTTATTTTGCACAAACAATAGTCATTGAAGTAGTCATAAATAAGGACTTTTTCTTAGAGCTGGTGAAAAAAAACTGTGCCCATGATATTATAATAAACATCTTCAATGGAAAAAAAAACAACACTGTCACTGTAGATAATTTATTTGAACCTACGTCAAAAAAATTTTGTTTAAACAAATGACATGATTATCTGTACATATCAATCTATGGTGTGCTTTCAACTCTCTGGTTCCTAGCTTAAAGAAAGTATAAAATCTATTTAAGTGATTTAGACGGGGGGGGGGGGGGGTTTTTTTTTTTCTTCAGTCAATATATTGATTATTAATATGATAAATATTGAGATAGAATATTTCAGTCTATGATAACACTATTCAAAAATGTTTTGAAAGATAATGGAAAATGCAATAAAACTTATGTTAAAAAACTTCCTCAATGCAAAATGCTTTATGTGCAAACATAATGAAGCTTATTTTTGTGTAGAACAAGCTGGGATACTAAGGTTATTTTGCAATCTGAAAAGAGAGAAAAGCCTGCAATACAATGATTATTGCTCTAATACAGTACTGAACCTGCTATTAGGGTCATCTTTTCAGCTTTAGAGAGGTACCATTGTCATTGTCTATTTACAGTATAGAAGTAAGAACTGGCTGTCGAGGTCGGAAAAGTCTTTAAAGGGCAGTTACCAAGATTCTTAATATTATTTAAAACAGTATAGAGAGCCAGGTCTCAGCGTCATTTTTCTGTAGAGAGAAAGGATGTCCATGTCAAGAGGATACAGCTTGGTACCTGGCCACATTATTTTGTTACATTTCACAAAAAAATGATCAGAAAAGATCATTGGCTACTCTTATTGGAGAGAAAGCACTTGTTGCAAAGTAACTCAGTCTTGTTATGAAAACTGGACTACCGTTATTTATGTCACGACCCTGAGTTACATGAAGAAGAAAGTCAACACTAAAAATCCTTGCAATCATGGCTTAGTAGAGCCTAGCTTGTCATCAGGTATAGCAAAAAAGGCTTAGGTATACTTAAAAACATCTGGTTATTGAGCTACATTTTCAATGTCCGTTATGTCAACGTCAGAGGCTTACAGCTACAGTTACTGGCTGCTACTAATATATGAATTATATTTTTAAATTCAGTCCTTTAACTTTGACAGTTTTTTGTGGTTTGTTTATTTTTGCTTACACTGCATTTTTGAAATGCATCTAGATGGGTGCAGGGCCGGTATTCATTATAGAAAGCATTGAGTGTGAAGCTATTTCATATTTCATGCAAAGTTGCATGCTGTATGAAGAATAGAAACCACAATTTGACCTTGAAATTGTTATAATTAATTAGATAGAAACTGTAAATACTAACAGAAATATAAATGAAATTCAATTCAATAGTTGGCTCCTAAATCAGGCTTCCAGTGACATTTATGTCTTTATAAAGTCTTTAGTAAAGTTAGAAGATTTACTGTTCTATATGGCAGTTTGTGTTAAATATAATAAGAGGATTGTCCCATTTATGTTTGCATTTCTTTGAAAACGATATAAAAAGTGGGTAGGTAAAGATAAGTAAAACAGTTTATTAAATATATGAGCTGTCGTATATACAGTTTTAAACACCCTTGACAAAAAAACTGCTAAGTTTGTTAAAATGGAAAATTCGGGAAGTGAATTGCATAAAGAAAATAGAGGATATTGAATGAGTGTAAGTTCAATACTGAATTTATTGAACTTATTGAATAAAGTCTACTCTCAGCGTCTGGCGAGCATAATATTGTTTTATTCAACGATTTCAATAAATTCAGTATTGAACTTACACGAATATAATATTCTATTTATCACATATCCAATATAAAGAATGTTTAAATTGAAAAAGAATCATTTTTCATTGACGAACCTTTAGTGAAATGCTAACATTTACTGTGTCTTTACACTATGTTTGTATAAAACAAATGACGTCACGTCAAAATACATGCACGGCCATGTAATACCATTTTCATGGAGTTGCAAAATCGGCACGGGTGTTTGATAAATATGATTATGGTAATGGTCATTGTTGCTTTGTGTGACCGTGTAAGGTGTAAAGGCCAGTTTATAGCTATCTTGTCAAGACGTCCAGAGTTTGAGCCCAAATAAAAGATGATATTTAAAATCTATAGTGATACATTCAGATTTTATGTAAAAGGCAGCAATTATTATATGGAAACAACAGTAAATAATTATAATTAATTATGATGATTTAATAAACAATAGTTTCATTTGTAAACAATTAAAATGCAATTCTTTGAAAAAGACAGGTTACTTGAACCTCTTGAAACATTGGATATAGATATATTGTGCACGTTACGTAGTTAAATCGCCAAGAAATACTTAAATTTAATTTTGAATCATATTTTTTTCAGATACCTGTAAATCAAATTAATTTATTTGAATTAAGTATAAATAGAGTCATTAAAAGGTGTTCATATTTCAGACAGGTATTTTAAAAGCTTTTAAAGTTTTCAACGTCCTTTTGTTCAGCGAAGCTATTGCATTGGCACATCTATGATATAAAGTATAATGTCCTCAGGTATATAGTGCGCACTCATTTGGTAATAAATTTTTGTTAAATGGCGGCAGGAGAGAAACGTAACATTGTAGTACGAATATTCAAATAATTTTGGACGATAACCAAAAATAAAACAGTCAGACGCACTCT